TTTCCAATGATAATTCTTCTGCAAGTTTTTTTGCTTGTCGAATTGAAGAGATAGCTCTTCTGCCTTTTGGTAGCTGCACTTCTAGAGCACATGGCACTCTCCAGTGGTATCTTATATCAATATAAGAATAATATTTTTCAGAAATGTAAGGTTCAACTTATGCAGCAGGCCCAGTCACAATATGTTATAGGTATAAAAAAAAATCTCTTTTTTACAATTTTTCCCCATAGCACTTAATTTACATCACAAATACAATAGCTTTGACTCAACTGAGAATGGCACAATATTATTAAAAAGCAGGATACAGAAACATTACTTTATGTAGGAAAGCTTAGGAAGATATGATAAAATAAAACACTGATAGAATCAGTTTATTAATATAAAATAGTATCTAATATTCACTCTGATTAAAACTATTACATTGAAGAAAGACATATCATTAATTTTACTAATTATCTATTAATATTATTGGGGAGTTTTAGTCTTTGCCTTTATTTGGGTGTATCTTCTTTAACAGCAACCCACAGCAGCTCACAGCTCAAATATTTAAAGATAAAAATTTGACAGAATTGTCTTTGACGAACAGAGGATCTGGATCAGTATAAAACCAGTCCCAACTGGTTTAAGATTAGGAATAGGTAAACAAAAACTGAAGATGGCACAGAAAAGGGAGAGAATGCAAAAACAGAAGGGGGGACAGCCCCGTAGCTAGGAGTTTGGGGGGAGGGGGCCTTGGGGGGCCCACCAGCTAATTAAATCAAAGTCTCCAGGGAAAGGGGAGGTCTGCTTGGCACGCACCCACACAGCCCTTACTGGAGCCTTCCTCCGAAGTGAGCCAGAATCCCAATGTTAATAGACTGAACAGCACTGCACAGTAAGGTCCTCAGAGGTCTAGGAACTGCTGCGTTTAAAAAAGGAGAGCGGGGATCAAGCTTCCTCCCTCACTCCTTCCCTGAGTTGACAATCTTTTCTGAAGCCTGGTGCAGAAAGTGACTCAGTCAACCACTGGTTGCTGCTGGGTCCTAAAGAGACTCAATTCATTGTAGATGAGCTCAAAAAGGGAGATGCCGGCTCATATTCATGAGTGCAATGCTGTAACTGTGTGACTGGTGAACAGGGAGAGGGGGCCCAGGGGGGAGGAAAAACCGAGGCTCAGGGAGTGGGGCCCATAAAAATCACTAGGAGGCCGGGCCCCATGGGCCCCATGGTAGCTACAGACCTGGGGGAGGAACACCCTTTCCTATCTTCAGAATTCTATTTGCTCACAAAATAGTGAAGACTCTCAGATGATCCAAATGCAGCAAGATATTTTAACAGTCAAAAAAGCCACAGTCAAAAAGACAAATTAAGACTAACTGGGAAGTATGGAGTCACGGGGTGGGGGTGGGAGGACACTCCCCACCATTGGTAGACAAATGATGCTTTTCTCCCCAAAACAAAACCTAACAGGCACTCCGAGCTTTCTATAAGAGACCCGGCACCAAATCCAAAGCAAGATTCCTGGCAACAATCTTATAATACAAACTGACTTTCAAAGACGTGCAGCAAAATCGAAATGCCATAGACGGGTAAGAAGTGGTCTTATTTTCAAAGACATAGAGAGGAGTAAAGCAATAAATCTTGCACTGGAGTAATTGTTAGTTAACTAAATAGTCTTTGCAACTCAATTCAGTTCGTCATGAGATTAAGAAAAGAAGCCATTCACAGCCCCCTTTTTAAAAAGACGTTTGCTTGATGTCCTTTTAATAAATGAAGAATATAAAAATGTGCAAAATAAATAAACAAATAAGCAAGGAAGGGTGGGGAAAACAGGAGAGGGGAAGGGGCACTGGGGCCAACCGTTGACTCTTTTCCTTGATGGATTCAGATTTTCTCAGGGTCTGAAAAGCCGGCTCTGATTAATCACCTGTCGAGGACCTCTTATCAGAGGGGTAAGATAAATCCTTTCTCTTACCAGTGATGATATGCCCCTAGGGAGTCAAGGTCTCAGATCCTTATGCAGAAGACTCCTAACAAGAGACCATATTGCCCTGGGAGAGTCCTCATCCAAGATTTTCTAACATGGGTGGGAACCATGATATTGGCTGAGATGCAAAAAACATGCATGCACTGAAGAGCTTAAGTTTTTAAAACAATATTTCATGCTCTGTGCTAAATGCCACACAACACACACCACTTTTGAAATGTAGGGAACTTGCCAAATGGCAAGGGGGTGGAGGGTGTAGCTGTCTGGGGGGGGGAGGGAATCAGAAATTCCACTGGCAAAACTAAAAATTTGAGTGCCCTTAAAATAGGATTTTGGACTCTGGCCCCTGTGTTTTGGTACTGTGGCGATGGCTAAGGGCTGCTTCACAGACACCCTTATGGATTTATTGTCTTTCCCAGTTAATAGCTTTTTCTGTGACCAGAATGACTTCACAACGTTGCCAACTAGGGTTGCCAGCTCCCCAGACCAGGTAGGGGTTTCCCCGCTTTTGCAGGCTCCTCCCTCCCACAAATGCCCTCAAACGTGGCACAATGACATCATCTAGAAGTGATGTCGTCATGCTGCCGCTGCCGCACAGTGATGCTCTAGGTTTTAGGCAGAACTCTATGGTAAATTTGGGCTCAAAACCATAGAGTTTTGTCCAAAACCTAGAGTGTCACCATGCAGCATTGGCTGTGTGATGACTTCACTTCCAGGTGATATCATTGCACCATGTGCGTGAAGCTCCCAGAGAGGAGTGAAGATCCCTCCACCGGCAGTAAGGTAAGACCTGGCAACCTTATTGCCAACTTCAGGTTGAGAAATTCTTGGAGACTGGGGGGTGGCATGTTGGGAAGTGTTGGGAAATTGAGCAAACAATTTGGCTACTGCATAAATTAGTTTGCTCTGGAGCATCCTTCCTGAGCTAAGAAAAAATGTGTGAGCTGGAGGCTAAAAAACTGTGAGCTAGCTCACACTAACTCAGCTTAGAGGGAACACTGGCCATGCCACTGGGAAATTCCCAGGGACAGGAGAGGAAGTGTGTGCTGGAAGTGTGCAATCTCCCCCAGCTCAGGGTTCTCAATAACAATAAGACTTCATTCTCAATAACAAAAGACGTTTCAACTCTGGAATATCCTGGCATACCCCAGAGGTGTCTGCCCAATCTAATACAGTTGCTATTACATTAACCAATGACTGGTTCCTCTTTTTCCTTTTTCCACTCTATCAAGAAGGACGCTGAAGTCATTAATTTACCCTTTATTCTGTTTCAGGAGCTATCTTGACTCACCCAAACCTTTGTGTCAGTGCAGATCTGGCTCACTTCAACCCAATTAAAGTATGTTAATCACTTTGCCTCACCCAGGTTCTTTGTGCCCATGCAGATTTTACTCACGGCAGCCTAATCAAAGTATTTTCCCCACTTTTCCCTGCCAAAGTTTGACAGCAGTTAACTTTAAACCAGTCAGTGAGATGCAAACATTTTATTCTGACCCAATCCAAAACTAGGATGGCCCAAATCCCACCTTCCCTGGGGATCTTCTGCCCATAAAAGAGTCTCCTTGCTTAGCCAGCTCCTCACTTTGCTCCTTGGACCTCAGCTGTGTTTGCCCCTGGACTAGGGCTGCCAAGTCCCCCCGGGGGGCGGAAATCCCCCCCGCCCCAGAAGCCCATTCCCCGACGCTGGGGAATCGGGCCCCGGGGGAACCCCGCCCCAGCGTGCACGTCACAGGGAAGTGATGTCATGACGCCGGGCATGCTGGGGGTGGGGCCACGGCCATACAAGGGAAAACTCTATGGTTTCCCCTTGTATGGTCGTGGCCGCGCCCCCAGCGTGCCCGGCGTCATGACGTCACTTCCCTGTGACATACATGCGGTGCACGTGCGCACGCCAGGATCTGCAACGGAGTCCCCCGCCGGCAAGGTAAGTGCCACTTGGCAACCCTACCCTGGACCCCTCCAGACTTCGTCCAGGATTTCAGGTCATATGTCCCTTCCCTAAAACTTCCCAATTTCCTCTTGTTGGTGTGTATGTGTACATGTGTTGTTATTTGGGGAATTAGTTTTCAGGTGCCCAGTGTAGGTTCTTTACATTTTCATTCATTTTATTTTATTTTACATACAATACAATGATTTGTTTGTGTTTACATAGGCCAAGGTCCTGCGTGATTCCTTTCTGGAACCTTTTCTAAAGTTAATTTCCCTTTCTCTGGGTCCAGTTTGGGTAACAGTGGAGCCTGGGAGGGAGTTCAGCAAGGATGTGATGTCACAGAGCCCACCCTCTAATACTGTCATTTCCTCCAGGGAAACTGGATCTCTGTTGTCTGGAGATCAGTTATAATTCTTGAAGACTTCCATGCCCCACCTGGAAGGTTAGCAACCTGCTCAAACAGAGCTGTCCTTAATATGTACAGTTATGAGTGTCTCCAAGTAACACAACACACTTTTCTACATAACCACATTCCTGAGGCCAGGTGGCATACAGAACAAGAAAAAAACTGCCCAAAGATGGTGCAATCCAGCCCTCATTCATAGGAAAAAGTGAATGTAGGGCCATTTCTCTTTGGGAAAAGGGTGTGGTGGGGGGACCTTGTGTTGTCTCCCAGTTCAAATTAGGTCACTGCGTGCTCACTCACAGAACTCCTGGCCTCAGGTCTAGTTCGGCCCACAGGAAGAGAACTAAAAACCATTTCGGAGACACTGGGTTGACATCAATGCTCACAGCCTTTAATCAGTTACATTTTTATTTATTTACTTTGCAACAGTCTGGGCATCCCCTGTCCTCCTTCGAATCCAGAGTTTACGGCTTGTACCATTGTAATTCTAGGAGAAAGCCCCAAATTGCACATCCTTCAACAGAGATTATGCGTAACTATTAGTTATGCAGGATTAAGCCTGTCCTAGCTTGCAATGCTATTGAGTAAAGCCATATTTCAACTCTTCTCAAAAAAAACTTTGAAAAATAGGACGCAAAACCTTAGGAAAGGGAAGAAGCAGGTCACTGTAGATATTCATTTTACACAACACTACATACCTATTAAAAGAGAAGCTGTCAGCAATTTGGGGTCGTAGGGGCTTTTTCCTCTGCCGTTTTCAAAATGTGAATCTTCTAGTTTAAAAATATTGTCCTGATGGGGAAGAAGGAAGAGGTGAATGATCTAACCAAGCAATCAGACTCCTGTCAAGAAATCATTAGTCAACTAAAGAAGAGCAACCAATTCAGTAGCCAATCTCACACCCATTCCTCATTCCCTTGTATCTTTAGTAGGCCTCTGTCCCCTCCAGACACTTTTGCCTGTAGAATTCTGCAAATGAAGCTTGAAAGTCCAGAGAGTATCTGAATTCTTCCAGCATCCTCACCAGAATCTGGTCTGCTACACTTGCTACTTTCCAATGGCCATTTTGTTTCCAGTTTCCCTCCATATTTATGGTTGCACTAATCTGTCCACATGCCTCAGAATTATAATGAGGCTAGGGACTGCCTAGAAAATGTACTTAATTTAGCTACAAGTTTGGTAATGGTCTGGTTATCATCTGACAAGAAGTAATTGACACAGAGTCCATCACTTGACACTTGAGTCCAGCTGCGGTGGCTCAAGTGGTTAAGACGCTGAACTGCAGGCTGTGGAAGGTCAGTAGTTCAGCAGTTCAAGACCCGGGTGCCGCAAGATGGGGTGAGCTCCTGTCTCTAGTTCCAGCTCCTGCCAATCTAGCAGTTCGAAAGCAAGAAATTGCAAGTAGATAAATAGGTACCACTTCGGTGGGAAGGTAACAGCGTTCCGTGCGCCTTGGTGTTTAGTCATGCCGGCCACATGACCACGGAAACGTCTTCAGACAGCGCTGGCTCTTCGGCTTTGAAACGGAGATGAGCACCGCAACCCTAGAGTCGGATTCGACTGGCTTTCGAGCAAGGGAACCTTTACCTTTACCTTTACCTTGGTAATGGTCTGGTTATCATCTGAGAAGAAGTAATTGACACAGAGTCCATCATACCAGACATTTCCTTTACCAAAGGTAAGATATATTTGGCTTGAACCAACTTGTACCTATGTGAGAAGCATATGTTCAATAGTTTCAGCTTCTCCCAAATCACACTGACAAAGTCTCTGGTCAAAAGGTATCTTCCCGTACCTCCCCTCAAGGACAGCCAAGGGAAGGGCTGAGCATCTAGCTAAAGTGAAAGCTTTTCTGATCTTGTGATCATCTAAGTTAGAAAGGCAATTAGGAGTGAGAAGTCAGTACCTGCTTTGCTTGGACATTATATAGGCTGGGCATCTGGCTAGGTCAAGCTGTCTCTTTGTGTCCCTCATTCTCTGTTTCAGCACTTTCTTGATCTGTTCCCTACCAAAGGCCAGAACTGCTTGGGGAGAAAGTCCCAGAAAGTTTCGTTTCTTATGGACTGCCCTCAGCCATTTAGATTGAAAGTAGCTAAATTTGTTACTGTATCCGCAAAGAAAAGACTATTTAACCCCTCAAATCTTTTAGACCATGGTTTTTATATTTGTGAGGGGCTGCGGTGGCTCAAGTGGTTAAGACGCTGAACTGCAGACCTGAAAGTCGGTAGTTTGGCAGTTCGAGACCCGAGTGCTGCATGATGGAGTGAGCTCCCATCTCTAGTCCCAGGTTCTGCCAACCTAGGAGTTCAAAAGCAAGAAATTGCAAGCACTGGCTCTTCAGCTTGGAAACGGAGATGAGCACCACATCCCTAGAATAGGATTCGACTGACTTTTGAGCAAGAGAAACCTTTACCTTTACCTTTTATATTTGTATATTTGTATTTTAACAAATTGTTAATATCGGTTTTGTATGATGTTACTGATTTGCTGGCTTGGTGCTGTAACAAATAAAGATTGATTGATTGTACTTAATTTATGCACTGAATGACACCCCCGTACTTATTTTCTATTGGACTTAATAGATATCATTTTAGAAAAGAATTATTTTTGATATCAATAAGATTTGTACATACAGACCAAGGGGGTGGCTATGGGCAGTTCTTTTGCCCCTTCAGTAGCCAACTTATTTATGGCCAATTTAGAGGAGATCTGGATTTATGTTCAGAATAATAATCCTTTTTTATTAAATCATTCTATATAAAATATTTATTTATGACATTTTCCTTTTATTTCGTGATGAACATAAAATAGACTCTTTTTTTAGATTGATTTAATAATATCCACTGTTCTATTAAATTTACCTCACAGTATAGCCCCACTAAAATTAACTATTTAGATACTACTGTTTTTGTTACTACCCTAACTCTTGCAGTAAAGATTTACAGTAAAGCTACAGATAAAAATTCTTACTTACACTTTAATTCTCACCATGTACATCATTTATGTTCCAGCTTACCATATAGACAGTCTCTGCACTTAAAACATAATTCTACTAGGGAAACTGACTTTGAAAGGGATTCCAGAAACCTAGCCTCTCAACTGACACATAGAGGTTATCCTCTGAACGTAATACAAGGGGCCTGGGCTCGGGCCAGAAAAGCACCACAAGAGCAGTTCTTGTCTAGTGGGATAATAAACAAAACAGAGGGAGCAATAGAATTTTTTGTGCTCTCGCCTACACTCCATTGGCTAATCATATTAAGACAACTATTCTAAAGCATTGGCATGTTTTAAATGGTATTCCAGGTTGCCAGGACAAACCTTGGATAGGTTTTTAAATGACTCATAATATTCGAAATGTGCTTATCGGATCGGATGCCTTAAGCCCATCGCAGCAGAATGTTCCCCTTAGAGTGCACAAAGTTTGTGGGTATTGTTCTGTTTGCCATATGTCTTTAATAACAGATAAATTGGTTTTTCCTCATTTAGGCTTTCAGAGAGAACTCTCATCTCTGACCACCTGTGCCACTAAATGTGCTATATACCTCCTCATTTGCTCTTGCAAAAGATTTTATGTAGGCTTGTCCACTAGAGCAGTACGCACACGAATTATAGAACACAGGTAAAAAAATAAAGAATGTGAACCTACAGTCTCCACTGACTGAGCATTGTCATAATAACAACCATTCCTTTGAAGACTTTATTTCTCAGCATCCATTTGATAGAACTGAGGTACAAAACCCTTTGTTTCAGAAAGAGGCATTTTGATTCATAGACTCCATTCCCTTGAACTGGTGGGTTTAAATCAGGAGCTAGATCTGTCATGCTTTTTGTAAAGGCCTTTTGAAAAAAATATTTCTGAGAAAACCTTTAATAGAGCTCTGGTCCCTTTAAATCCATTGAGCATTGTTTCAGCTGAAGGCTTACCTTCCTCCCACTCACCACATTAGAGTTAGGAGCTTCATCCTCTGCAAAGAGATTGGATTGATTCAGCTTTAGACTAGAACATTAACACCTCATCTACATGGTGAGCTATCTCTATGGGGAGATATTATTAATTTTTATGTACACATTCCTTGTAGCTATTTACTCTTTTTTCATTTTTAGGATTCCTATATTAAAAGTATTGAATAATATATATCAATTTAATTGCTTAATGCAAGGGAGGTAGGCTCTTTTAGATCACATTGGCAACACTAATGAAAACTGTAATCTTACTGAATTATTATTATTTATACTTTGTATTTGTTAAGAACTGTTATTTTTGAAGAAGAAATACTTCGAAACAAAGAGAAAATAGCCAGAATCTTCATCTAAATAATTTTGAGTTCAATATTAATAGTTTCATTTTTATATGTTTAAATAAGTCTTTGGAATTTTTAATTGAGATGTTTGTACTATTGCACACTTAGATGTCCAAACGCTTATGTGCATAACTTTATTTTAGTTGCATGTTTTGTTTGTACTTAGCATTGTTTAAAAAAACCTTTATTTGCCATTGTTCTTTAAGACAACTGTCTGCTTAAATTATTATAAGTAATTTAAAATAGACAAAAGTTTATTTGAAAATTATCTAAATATATTTTCTTTAAACATATTCTCTTGATATATTCTGCGCATATTGTCATGGCATTTGCTAATCTTAGTTCTTTTTTATTATGACCCATATACTTTCTTATCTCAGAATTATCAATGTCAACCACCAAAATGAGGGAAGTTGGAAGGAAAGTAGAGCAACTGCCACAAAAGAACTGCGGATTGAATATGTGGTTGCATGCAAACAGGAATTCCAGCTTAATCTCCATGTGGCTGTGAGTTTGTCAGGAATTAATTGTTTATGTCACAATTAGAACAGTTGGGCTCACTTACTTGGATACCAAAATGGGCAGGTGTTGCCCTGCAAGAGCCTTACACAGCATCTATAAGGCTGTGGACTGTAATCATAAACTGGACTATGCAATGAATGTGCCAAGGAACTGGACTGTGCGGCAGACCTGATGAAGGTGCCAACCTCCTGGACTGAAGACAGATGCCCAGCCGAGGGAAGCCTTACCCTGAAGCAGTGTGCCAGCCATATGTGGACCTGTGGCATGCCCGAAGCCTTGCAACCCTGCATCCCTGTAGGAGGCAAGCCAGCATCCCTGACACTCGAAGCATGCAGCAACTGGCAGCAGTTTGCCAAGGAGAAGCCATGGTTTACACAGAAATCCTGAGTGTTCCAGCAGAGACTCCTTAGAGGGAACCCTTCTCCAGCATGCAGGCACCTTCTCTCCCCCCACCTTCTCCAGATGCTGCACGTATTACTCATTGTATAACAAAAGGACTTGCGATGTGACAGGATTAAGCAGCTGCTATGATTCCATCAACAATCCATCCTAATAACATTAAGACTAATGATCACCCATGACTACTCCTGTCTTTCCTTTTGTCTTTCAAAGGTATCACAATTAGTTGAATGTCATTGCAATTGCCCAAACATTAATCCTGTTCTCCCGATCATCTCCTGACCATTAGTAACTGAACCTCTCTAGAATCTTGGGGACTATGTGATTGGTGAATCATTCCCCCAGTCAGTTTAGAGTATATAAAGGGAGCATCACCCCATTGCTCTCTCTCTCACTTCCCACCTAACCCCACCCTACCTTTACTGGCTCCATTCCTAGTACTGTCTGGAGTCTCTCCTGTGTGCTGCTGGCCAACACATGTCCCCTTTCCTAGTATTTTCCCCATTTTTCGCTGCAGGATCACCTCATCTCGTCAGTCAGGTAATGTATCACCCCATCAATGATACC